TGTGTGTGTTTGTGTGTGTGCTTGTGTGTATTTGTAAAGGTGTGTGTGTGTGTGTGTGTGTGTGTGTGTGTGTGTGTGTGTATCAGCGTATGCTGGCGCGCACGTCTTATCTCGATCTCTGGCGTGGGTGTACCTCCCCACCCCGGTAAGTCGGAGCTGTCTGCCTTTTTATGGTACATTTGGTGCTGATGAGGATGAGGGCATGAAACAAGGGCGAGAGCAAAAACACAATAACAACAACAATAATAAAATGAAACCTCGGTTACTACAACAGTGTCTTTTTTCATTTAAAAAAATATTGTTCCATGCGTATGTAGTCGAGTGGTTAGGATACAGGACTCGCAATCGTGAGATAGCGAGATCGGCAGAGCTCGAGTTCCAGTTCGGTTCCATGATGTGTCTTTGGGATAGGCATATTTCGCTGGGCCCTATCGGAGAGGGACGTTACATTCGGAGGTAATCTTAAATCGTATTTCTAAAGGAAAACTATTCGAAGTGACATTTTGCAAATTTTACAGGAGAAGTAAAAAAAACTTTCTCATTTCAACAGGACGCAATCAATTTTAGGATCCAAAACTCACATGTATAGTGTAGAAGAAACAACCACGGGCTCATTTTATGAATCGTTTTCTAATCAATTTATTCCATTCTTGTTAAATCAAACAAAGTGTCACTAGGAATACTATTTTCTCAACAAAAAATATGAGGAAAACTATTCTATAGGGGTACTTAGAATAGTTTCGTTTGTTTTTTAGAAGAAATGTATTCTAACTTACGCACTTACAATGGTTTTCTTCATTTTCTACCACCGCAGCAATTTCTTAAAGTATGGAAAGTATTTTAAATGCCACATAATACTTTTCCTTAAAATGGTTTCTTAAGTAGGAGATAGAATATTTTTTCTTTGGGCTGCAACTCAATCGTTTTTTAAGCTACAGCTCTGATGTTTTAACACAAGTTGCGTCCCTTGGTGGAAGTTCAGACCATTGAACAAATCTCCATTTCGGCCGACATGTCACATGGAATAATTTTCCTCTTGACCCGCGAAATAATCTTACAGTGTTGTAAAGGACGTAAAATCTATATAATTATTACTCATCTTTTTCTGTCAGCCCCTTATTCATGCAAAGAACGAAAATTAGACAAGTGCAGCATGAGTACTCCAGTTAACTTTTATTTCATTTAGGGGATAGGGGGGCAAGCACAAAAACAAAATAATGATTTCACTACAACAATAACAACTTTTATTCATGATCAGCATTGAAATAAAGCACGTAATACTGATTGAAAGCGATCAGAAGACACAGGGTTGTAGGCACAAGGGGGGCAGACAAGGCTTCAATGCACTTAACTACACGGGGATATCAAAAACCAACGTTAAATAATAACGAAGATATAAAGATAAAGCAATTTAGGAATGATGGGTGAAGGTAAAGAAAAACCAGCTTGTAAATAATTCAACGACGGGCTTATATTTAATAATGCTGGACAAAAGTATTGCACTCAGATAGGGTATATGGAATGGTTATGAAATGGGATATGTTTGCATTGACAAGGGAATGACAAGTACACATAAAAACATTTCTGATACACTTAAATCAAGGGTTTGGGAATTAAGTTATATTGCACTTTTTCTCATGTGATAGAACAAAAATTATAGATATGCATATTTTTCTTGATAATAACACTGTAAGGTTAATACCTCTATTACAATTCTTAAAGGAGTTAGAACCCAATAGTTCTAAGGTCACTTATTGTAAAACAATGAACCTTTAATGTATCTTTCTTCAACACGGCAAGAGAGAGAGATGGATTTGACTTCGGGTCCTCGTGGTTGAAAGCCTGTTCCTTTTTTAAAATTTCTGCTGCCTCTCTCTCTCTCTCTCTCTCTCTCTCTCTCTCTCTCTCTCTCTCTCTCTCTCTCTCTCTCTCTCTCTCTCTCTCTCTCTCTCTCTCTCTCTCTCTAACCCTCTCTCTCACACACACACGCACACGCACACACACACACACACACACACACACACACACACACTCACACATACACACACACACATACTCACACATACACACATACACACATACACACATTTATTATATATATATACATATATATACATATATATATATAATATATGTACATGTGTATATGTATAATATATATATATATAGAGATATAAAGAGATATATATATATATATATATATATACATATATATACATATATAATACAACTGGCATTCGTACGAACACATACCTGCAAAAAAAACTGTGACAAATAAAAGCATTCTCCCAAATATACACAGAAATACACTCATACACAAACAATGTACTCCTAAACACTTGAACTTTCATAAATGCAAGACTAAAGCGCGTATCCTGTCTACACATCACCTAACGGGCGTTCTTTTGACACATAACGTACAAGAAATCTGATATGTTATTATCATTAAGTAAACTTTCATTATAATTTTTACTTTTCATTGCTGCTATCATTATAAATAACATCATCATTAATCATATTATTATTACTTTATGATCATTATTATTTCTATCATAATTATTATATTTCTATTACAACCATTTTCACTTTTGTTGTTATAATCATCATCATCATAGCATCGACATTTTAAAAAAATATTTTCATGATTTGGAAGATGCTGTACATAAAATTGTGACGAAGGCAAACAAGATTCTGTGGGCAAAAGTGAAGGAAACGCATAAAACTTGTTGTACCAGGTCTTCACTACGCTGCCCTGAAATAAGTACTATAAGGGCGTTTTAATATACAGCTAGGCTATTATCTTTTGAAGAATTGAAAAGGTTTATGTCGTCTAGTTTTGATCTAGAACTGATGGTAAAATCAATCAGATCTAAAGATGCATAATCTTAAGGCTGTAATCATTATGCTATATTCAAATCAAAAATATTTTCCGACGTGTTGATGAGGGCGAACTGTCGCTCTATGGCTGTCTCGGGCTCAAAGTCAGCCAGATCATCTGGTAATGAAAAATTGGACTGGGGCCGTACACAGGAAGGGGCGTTGCTCATTGTGGGTAGATCTCGATATTGTCTAACAGATGGTGGGCCTCTCCCGTTGACTGCACGGTGCTGTGACATTGAAGAAGACGTGTTGCAAACTTGGAGGGGTCCATCTTGCATCTTTATCTGCATTTGTTGTCTACTGCTGACGTTGTTGAGTTCTTGTGCGTTCTGCAAAGGGAACTGCGAGTGTAGAGATGGTTGTTTTCCTGTTGTACCTTGCAGTCTTGATGACGGAGGGGAGGCCATCATGCATGTGCTAGGTTGCGTCCCTTGATTGGAAAAGTATGGCTGTGACGCCATACTTAAGTCACTCTGAGTACTGTTAGGTTGTGGGTAGGGGGGATTCACATTTTGTCTTTGGTCAGCTCTGGGAGGGGTAATGCCTTTATTCTTTGACAAGGGAGGAGAAGGCATGCTTGACGGATCGATTCTGTCCGAGCTAGGGTTGGGGCTGTTAAATTGGTCACAATTTCTCGAGTCACAGTAAAGAAAATTAGGAGAAGCGCAGGGGTGACTTATGACGTTTACTGTGGTGTCACACAGTCGAGAATCGGTTCTGTATTGAGGAGGAGGATGTTGGTCAATCTGTGGTTGATTCTGAGGGTAAGGAGGACAGTTGTCCGGAGAGCACGGGTGGGGGAGGGCGGAGAAGCCAGGAATAAAGTGACAAGGCCCGAAGTTCTGTTGTGCCCCACACAGTGAAAGATCAGAACTGGGGCAGCCGAGAGGAACATGTGGAGGAAACGGAAACAATGAGAACGGGTCATGGGCTCGGATTGGCCCGTTGAAGTCCAAAGTATTGTCATACATAAATTGATACGGTTTGGAATACGTCGATTCTGGAAGAAGAGTTCGTGGGTTGAGCTGTAAACAGGCTGCAACCATGTTCATAGTATTCTGAGACAATCCTCTTGATAATGCTTTCGCAAAGGTAACGCTGTCGGGTCGGACTCCAGATTTAAGAATCTCTGCCAGAACATGTATATAGTTCCTCGCCAACCTCAGAGTTTCGATTTTGGACAGTTTTTGAGTCTTGGAATGGCATGGCACGTGATTACGTAGTTCGTCCAATGCTGAGTTGAGGCCGTGCATTCTATTCCTTTCTCGTGCGTTCGCTTTAACTCTTCGTACCCGAAGCTTGACCTGCCTCGTTTTGGTCATTGCTTTCTTTTTAGGCCCTCTTTTCCTTGGACCTCCCCCAGTAGAATGTGCGTCGTCTGATTGGTTGATTGTCTTCTTACAGCCAACTGACAGCACGCTGTCAGATGGGCATTCACCTTCTTCTCCTCCCGTCGTCGAATCTGGGAGGTCGTTTGGTTCCGACATGATGTCATCGTCGTAGTCATCTTCGTGTTCATCCATGTCTTCATCGTCGTCCACGTCATAAATATCGATGAACTGCTCGCCGGAGGAGCGCGAGTCGCTTTCGCTGTCGCTTCTGATTGGCATATTTAGACTCTGGGGAAGACACGGATCTTGTGTTAGAATGGACAGACAAGTACGTAGGAAAAAAATATGTCTTGGCGTATGGACTTGGTGTTGTCGAAATAAATCTCAATGCATATGACACATCGCCACAAAAACCTGAGACTTGAAACCAAACCTACTATCAGTCACAGTGCATATCATAATCATTTAGGAAACTAAGAGCACACTCACTTCGACGAGACAACCACACATCTTCCATGTGATTTTTCAACAAGGACCATCCTACCCCCACCAAATTTGGTGGTGATGACGAATCTATGGGGTTTTTTTCTAAATGACTGCCTATAAAAAATCTCCGTCAAAGTTTGTTACTTATGTTACCTTTTTCTACTTTAAAAAGTGCACGTGTACACCACCCATTCCCGTACCTGCCTTTCTCTCTCTCTCTCTATCTCTCTCTCTCTCTCTCTCTCTCTCTCTCTCTCTCTATCTATCTATCTATCTATCTATCTATCTA